GCCTGATTTAGGTGTAAGTCCTCTATTTTATTTTTCCTTTTACTAGACTCTCCTGACAGGTCACGTCATTTCCTGCAATTTTTGTGGTTGATCTCTAGTTAGCGCCTTTTCCTTGTTCTAACTATCTAATATTAGGACTGGAAATGGGAAACATAGGGGGTCAGTAGGATAAATGCAATTATATTGTGGGGATTGCAATGAATGACATGAAACAAAATGTGTATGAACTGTTGAAAGGGAAACTGATTTGCTCTGTAAACCTTCACCCAATTCACAACAAAAAGTTACAGAGACAAAAAAGAAAGGATGAAAGAGCTCTATTCTGGAAAATAAAATGCCATAAAGGACATTTATGAGTAAGCAAGAAAAATTAGCCCCTGGATTTAGGTCAGGAAGGATTAGACTAACTTAGACTAACTAGTATTTTGTGCAAATGCAGTCGGGTTTATGATCAGGACTGCTCTATCTATAAAGCTGATAAAAGTGAAATGAAGAATAGTAGCTGCCAGTCTTTTGGTTGCACAACAAGAAGGCCTAGACAATGCAAACACTTTTTCTGGATTAATTCCATCAAGGCTTTATTGCTAAAGTCAGAAAGCACCTACCCAATAAGGGTCTGCATTGTAAAGTTCTTTTGATAATGGAAAATGCCTGTGACCATTTAGAATCCCATGAGTTCAACACCGAAGGCATAAAAGTGGTCTTTGTTGTTGTTATTGTTGTTGTTAGTGGTTTATTTGGCCCCAAACACAATGTCTCTAATTCAGCATCAAGATTAGAGGGTGTCATAAGAACCTGTAATTATCAGCAGTATAAAAAAGAACACGGATGAATGATGCCATCATTATTATAAAGTTGTGAAAAGTTGTCAATATCGAAACAATAAATTTCTTCTGAAGAAAACCATGGAAAGATGTTGTTCGTAACCCCACAGGATCACAATAGATCAGTTAAGGAAACCGTGAAAGACACTATGGGTACGGCAAAAAAAAGAGAGGGTTTAAGGATTTCAAAATTTGGATCTTGGTGTTCAAGGTGATAGGCATCACACAAGAGGAATTAACAGGACATGACTAGATAGAGATGTGATCCCAAACAAATGCCAGAAGATGAGGAAGAAGATGCAGATGAAGCAGTGTCAGAAAGCACACTGATGTGAGATCATCTGGCAGAAGGGTTCTGATTGCTCAAGATTGTTCTTGACATCTTGTATGATATGGACGTTTGTTTCTATGATATAAGCAAACAGTGGAAGTAGGATTATTTCTGTATAGTAACAATTTCAGAGAACTGAAAACAAAAAAGTCAGGTAGAAATTGCAATGCATTTCTGTACAGTGATACTGAGTATGCCTGCCTTCCCTTCTAAATCCTTCACTTCTTCTGCCTCTGCCAGCACTGAGACAGCAAGACCAACTGTTCCTTTTCCTCCTCTTCCTCAACCTACATAACATGAAGACAATTCATGTTGTAAACAGATGACATAAATTTATGGTATCAACAAATACAGTACAGTCTCTTCCTTAGAATTTTCTTAATAACATTTTCTTTAGCTTACTTTATTATAAGAATGTAATATATAATACATATAATGTACAAAATATGTGCTAATTAAGGGTCCCAATTGCTCAAGGGTTAACACTTTAAATGTCTGTCTTTTTTCCTCCAGCAACTATGGAAAGTTTGCCTTTTTTCCTCCAATAATTACGGAAAAAGTATAAGAAAGACTATAGTCTAATTTTTAAAGAAATCGAAATTTAAAATACATTCTAATAAAGTTATTAATTGAGAAATTTGGTAAGGTAAAAATCTATTTCCCTTGCCAGATAGTTAAATATAAACCATATCTGGACTATTCATTTTTTTTTTTTAAAGATAAAATAAGAATATTTGAACTAAAACCACAATAGAAAAGAATGGATTAATAGAATACAAGTGAGCTTTTGATGACTCAAATGTAGATTCAAGTCTCAGTGCTGTCACTTGCTAGCTGGGTGACTGGTCAATTTCACAATGATCTGTAGGTTTCAGTGACCTCTCTGCAAAGTGGAGGTAATAATAACAACAGCTTTAGGTTGCTGTGAGGATTGTTTTATCAATGAATTTATAGCAGATGACAAAGAACCTGGAACAAATAAGTGTTCAATAAATGTTCCTTTGCTTTTCTCTTTAGTCTGAACATCAGGTAACCCTTTCTTTTCTTTCAAAATACAATTCAAAAGCTTAAAATTCATCATAATAAGGATCAATTGCTATTGATGTGCAGAAACGATAAAGAATTCAGAATAACCATGTCCTGAAACAGAATTCCTAACACTTTCACTTCTGGAAACTGATGAACAGGCATTACCTGAATGAGGCTTGTTTGAAGAGCAGATGAGATTGATTTGTAAATAGCATAGCAAAGCATCCATCAAGAGTCCTGAGTCTGCTTACTATATCACATTATTTGCATATAAACAAAGACATCTGAGTATTTGGCAAGTCTAAACTCTTAGCTGGGTAAATATTTTATTTGATATCATGTTTTTATTGTTCATTTGCTTTTTAAGACTTCCCTTTACATAGCAGCAGAAATCTAAAACTATAATTTCAAAAAGATTATGCTGAGTCAAAAAAAAGCCAACTACAAAATTAAACTATGGTGCAAAATATATATAGAAGATAGACCAGGAAAAGGCCTAAGGAAATTTCTGGGTGATTGAAATGTTAGATATTTTGATCACTGTACTGTTGCTGTCTAGTTGATTCTAACTCATGGTGACCTACAGGACAAAGCACAACTCTCCCATAGCATTTCCACAGCTGTAAATATTTACAGAAGCTAACTGCTTCATCTTTCTCCTTCACAGCAACTGGTGGATTCAAATTACTGATCTTTCAATTAACAGCCAAGCAAACTTGTGTGGGGGTTACAAAAGTGCACACATTTCTCAAAATACATTGCATTGTGTACTTAGGATCTATGCATATACTTCAAGGGGAAAAAAAAATCTGTAAATAAATATTAAACTATTATAGGTAGGTATTAGTAGGAGTTCTTTTTTTTTTTTTCCCCCAAGCAGTATAGGTAAGCAAGGACTCTTGGTGTGGTACTGTAGGAGAAACACTGGACTACAAACCACAACGTTGGTAGTTCAAACCTACAACTGCCCCTGTATAAAACCTATACAGTGTCGCTATGAGTCAGAACCAACTTAGTGGCACTTAACAACAAAGGAGCTCTGGTAGCGTAGTGGTTACAAATTGGGCTGTGAACCACAAGGTCAGCAGTTCAAAACTACCAGCTGTTCCATGGGAGAAAGATGAGGCTTTCTGCTCCCGTAAAGGTTTACAGCCTCGGAAACCCTGTACAGGGTCACTATGAGTCGAAACCAACTCCACAGCACATAACCACCACCAACAACAACAAAGACGCCCTGGTAGGTTTGTAGTGTGAATCCACAAACTGCTCTATGGAAGAAAGATGTAGCAGTGTGCTTCTACAAAGATTTACAGTCTTGGAAATCCTATCGGGTACTTCTACTGTGTCTTATAGGGTTGCTGTGAGTAGGAACTGACTTAACAGGAATGGGTTTGGTTTAGTTTGGATAGGTTAGCAATCCTGAACGTATGCTCAATATACTGAGGATCATAGGAGCCAGGTTTCTCACTGTTGGAAAATTACAGATATGGGAAAAGGAAAGACAACAACAAACCCAATGGTGCTCGATCTATCTAACGTGGCAGTTGCTAGCCTTGAATATGGACAGCTATTAGCTAGGTAAGCAATACGAATAAGGGGGTGGGAGCATCAGATATGTTTTCCTTCATTTGTTTTCCTGTCCTGCTGGATTCCAAAATGCAAAATGTAGCCTAGGACAAGGATAAGAACACTGTTCCTGTGTGCAGGACAGGTTCCTTTGAAATTGATCCTTATTAAATGTGTTGTGGGTCTTTTTATTTCTAATAGTGTGGTACATCTGAACTAGTATTTTATAGTCCTTAGGAAGATAGATGTGTAGACAAGGAAATGAGTAGTAAAAAGGCTTTTTAGTTACAATGTATCTCGCTCATTGTCTTGAGGTTAATCAGAGGCTAATGAAAACATTCGTAGGTGTATACTTATTTAACTGTTTTGGGTCTTTCTTTGAATGTCTTATGGATTTACTTACTGATTGGTAGGGCATGCCAGAGATGACCTATACATTTAATAGTTTAGTAAATAATTTTTTTTTCTTAGTTTTCTTTTTGGGTCCTCGTTGCAACTAACTCCATGGCAATTAACAACAACAATAACCTTCTTTTATTTCCCTGACATGGGTTTCACTTTAATGGTGTATAAGAACACCAGCAATTATTTCAAAGTCCAATAGTTTACTCTCAAATTGCACTGGCAATTTTTTCTCCTGTTTGTCTCTCAATCCTCGTTTTTGTTGGTGGTGATAATTTGGATTCACATACACAGACGCTAAAGCCCCCAACGTTGGTATACTGTCTGCTTGATGACAATGAATCAAACAGATACGCACAGCAACCTTAAGCAGCTATATGTAAGGAGTCCACTGGATTTTGCTGGGAGTAAAAGAGGCCCAGCCCTCTTTCATGTCTTGTCACTTTGGATCAAAGGTACCCTGTTGTGTGCAGAAAAACAAAAAATAGCTTCTGTGGAGCCAACTCCACCTCATGGCAAACTGACGCATGTCAGAGTGGAACTGCTGTCCATAGGGTTTTCAATGGCTACATTTTTCAGAAGTATCTCACCAGGAGTTTTTTCTGAGGTCCCACTGGGTGGACTTGAACCTCCAACCTTTTGGTTATCAGCTAAACACATTGACCGTTTGTGTCACCCAGAGAGAGACTCCGAAACCCATCCAGTGTGTATAAACCAGAAGGAGTAGAGTTTGAATGCTGAATTCTACTGTTTCACATTTTAATCACTAAAGAAGTGGCCCGAGAGAGAGAGAGAGAGAGAGAACAGTACAGTGAGAGACAGCGCAAGGGGAAACAAACTGAGCTTACCATCCACAGGTTTGACGTCCATTGGTGCTGGCTCCGCTTGCCCTCCCACGCAGCTCTCTTTAATACTTTCTATTTCACGCCAGAAATCCTCCATGGAAGCGCTGTCTACGGAGGCTTGTGAGTTGGAGCGGTTAAATGCCGGAGGACGTAAGGATTCGTTGGAGAGCATCCTGTTAATTCTTCGGCAGCAAGGAATGGATTTTCTGAGGACAGATGAATATCTGAATGAAAATTGGAGTACTTTATTTTATAAATTAAACAATTAAGCCTGAATATGAAACCAATGGAGAAATGGAACTACCGCATTTTTGTGCAAATAAACATGTGCCTTCTATGCTTGTTTGCCAACCACTCCCTCTCCCCTGACATATTTTTGCAAACACACTAAGCTAATTTTTTACAGTGATATGTTAATAAAAGATTGGCATAGCTCCACTTAAGAAAATACCTCCCTCAGATATTTGTTGGCAAACAGACAGAGGGTGCTATTTGTGTAAAAATAAGGTACTGTGGGAATAATCACTATTCAATGGCTACCCTTTTCATTTCATAATTTTTACTCATAATGAAGTCACTGACTGGCACAGTTAACACACTCAGCTGCCAACTGAAAGACTGGAGGTTTTAATCTACCCAGAGACACCTCAGAAGAAAAACTTGAGAATCTACTTCCTAAAATCAGCCAATGAATAACTAGGGAGCACAATTCTACTGGGATAAACCTAGGGGCCGCCCTGAGTCAGAGTCTGCTTGATGCCAATTGTTTTTATTTAACACTTCATAATGACACTATCCCACCAAATCTGCTGCATGAGACCTTTTTAAAGTGTTGAAGAGCAAAGATGTCAGCTCGAGGACTACGATGTGCCTGACCCAAGCCATGGTTTTTTTCAATAACCTCATATGCATGTGAAAGCTGGACAGTAAATAAGGAAGACCACAGAAGAATTGATGCTTTTGAGTTATGGTGTTGGAGGAGAACATTGAAAGTGCCATGGGCTGCCAAAAGAACCAACAAGTCTATGTTGGAAGAAGCACAGCCAGAGTGCTCCTTGGAGGCCAGGATGGCCAAACTTCATCTCTCATACATCGGACATATTGTCAGGAGGGACCAGTTGCTGGAGAAGGATATCATGTTTGCCAAGGTTGAGGGTCAGAGAAAAAAGAGGAAGACCCCCCAACGAGATGGATTGTTCAAGTGGCTGCATCAATGGGCTCAAGCGTGGCAACAATAGTGCGGTTGGCCCAGGATCGGGCAGTGTTTCGTTCTACTATGAGTCTATGAGTCGGCACGACTCAGTGGCACCTAACAACAACAACAATGACTCTATCATATGCCATCTAGGATTTACCATGTTATATTTTTATAATTTTCACTTATTCCTAAAGTAGACGGTTGTTAGTCAAATAATTTAGTTGGTATTAGTCAAATAACTTATAATGCAAGTTTGACTCTTAAAGGGTCCAAAGTGATGAGAGAGAAAGGTGTGAAAGTTGGTTACTTGGGATAATGACATTAGTAAAAAGAAATAACCTAAGAATCCGTTGGCCTATTAGGATATTAAAATGGAGAATTGGGTAGTACCCAAGTGCAGAAGTCTCCAGTTAATCCAGACAGTTGGGGCCACCATTAAGGAGAGGGTCCAGCAGCTGAGGATAGTATTGGCTCTTGCTATTGTGACGTAACCACCAGTCCAGAGCCCTAAGAGCAAGAGCAAGACAGTTTCATGAGGCACTTACCTCACAGGCTAGTAGAAGGACTAAATGAATTAAAACATGCAAAGCATTTAGAACATAAGAATGCTCAATAAACATTAGTTTAAAAAAAAAAAAAAGGAGACATGGTAGGTCAGATAGATAAAAACATGCTGGAATTCTGAGACCTTAGTAATTTAACATAAAAATAAAGCAAAATATTTGGCTCTTATGATTAACAAACATTACATTTTCTAAGAGCAGAATATTTAACTAGAACACTTCAGTTCCCAACCATGAACAGTAGTTGAGTTGCTTTATGCATTGTTGTTGTTGTTGTTATGTGCCATCAAGTAAGTTCCAACTCATGGTGACCCGGTATAGGGTTTCCTAGGAGTGGCTGGTGAGTTTGAACCTCCAGCCTTGCAGTTCAAACCGAACTTGGGGTCGAGTGGTTATCCTATTGCGCAACACTAGGACTCTGATTCTTTTTCTTACATAGTTTTACATTTTGGTGTGGTATGTAACTCCTTTCAAGACCCTCCACTAAGCTTGCCTTCTTCTCCTTGAGTTCATGTGGTATTGAATCAAAAGGCTGAGACGACCACTGAGACAACTTGTGGTATGGGCAGATTTACCTTGAACAAAAACTGTCACATGTAAAGATGTATGTAGAGCCAGCAGCAGGAGAGTAACAGCCAACTGTGAGCACTGTAACTCCCTGAAGACAATGGAATCTTGCTATGCAGAGAGCAGTGCATTGCTAAGGAATGCTAGCACACCCCACAGCAAACATAAAACACACTGATACATGTGAGTGCAAAAACAGAAGGGGAAATAATGCTCCCATAAAGAAGAAAAACAAAATTCTGTCTGTTCATATTATCTAGACTTCTAGAAATCTGTCTAGATTTTCAAATCACCTGTAGTAGAAATGTCTGGAATCTATCACCGATCATGGGACCAAACAGCAAGCAGTTCTTTAACTGGCAGTGATTGAAACTATTTGTTTTTAAAGCTCAAAGCACTTCTGGAAAATATGAAATACTGTGGGTTTTTTTGTTTTTTGTTTTTAATGCTATGCTGTAAGAAAAGAATTTTAGGCAGTTGTGTTTGATAATTATGTGATAAGAGTTTTTCACTTCGATAAGAATTCTTCCCTCGAGCTTGACTAGAAAGACCTACTTACTTTACTGGTTGAAACATGAAGTCATCACAAATATCATGACCTTTATGAATCACAGATATTAAGACAGTACATTTTCCATGATTATTTTAGGCTTTGTCCTTTTTGCCACAAGACCAATACTGAAAACCTCTAACAAATTCATATAGTGCAAGCATATACTTACTTCTTGTAAAATTAAAAATTATACTTCAATAGTAGATAGTTCACACAGTCTGATATCCTCCAAGGATCATACTCAGAGAAAGTAGATGACTACTCCAAAACTTTCTCTAATCCTGGATTTCTAACGTGAGTTACTTAAAAGAATTAATGATCTTGTAAACATTTTATAGTCTAAAATGTGGACCAAGTTTCAAAAATGATGAAGTGGTATATTTTAAAAATCATGATTATGTAAAGCATGAGTATCATCTCAGCATTGTTCTATAAACTGCTTTATTTTCCCACTTGAAAATATATCATAGACAGTTTTTCCACACCAATACCGTCAATGACTGCATGAAGAAGTATAATTTATCTTAGAAATTAAGCAAACATGCAGATATACCCAAATCAAAACCATAAAAACCCCGATGCCTTTGAGTCAGTTCCAACTCATAACAACCCTACATAGGGTTTCCAAGACACTAAATCTTTATGGGAGCAGATAGCCTCATCTTTCTCCCTTGAAGTGGCTGATCCATCACCTAATCCATAGTGCCACCAGGGCTCCTTGCAGATATACCCAAGTATTGAAAATTTTTAAAGCGCTGAGAAAATTGGGAAATAATAAATGAGTTTTAGAAGATGAGACACAAATGTATTTAGGGTTAATAGTAGTAATGTTTGTTGAGATACAGGTTTTTACTTATGCTAATGGGTATGTTCATAGAACTTTGGATAAGCGATCTTCATAAGCCTTTGTCAGCAGACAAGGGGAACAGATGTGGACTATAGTTATGAACAGCTGAGTAAAATGCTGGGTTCATCTGAGACAGTCCACCCAAAGAATTCTTTACCCGCAATGATCAGCAATTTTTCTTGGCAAAGAAGTCAGACAGCAGTTGGGGGATAAGCACACTTGAAAGGACTCTCACTTTTTTTCAGTTAGGATCCAAATACTTCCCACTTCATCTCAGAATGACTATGGACCATGCTCTTCCACTCTTGAAGCATTACACAATTGTGACCCTTAGACCCACCCAATGGTTAGATGAGTTTTAATCTGCAGCTTCATGCCTCACCATATTAGGATAAAATAGAGCTTGGGGTTTCATTAGCTGTTTGTATTTCTTGATTCCTAAACAATACCAGGAAAATGTTACATGAAAAACAGAATGTAATTGTGTCACATAAAAACTTTTGTTGGGAAAATACCATTAGGTATGGGGTAATTACTCTACATTCAAAATGGTATTAACAAAAAAAAACAGGAAAGATTTTATGAGTATTTTTCTTCTATTGCATTTTCAGTTACAGCTTGATTATGTTTTAATAGTTATGAGAGATCTATATTATGTTGTTGTTGTTATGTGCCACGGAGTTGGTTCCAACTCATAGCAACCCTGTACAGGGTTTCCGAGGCTGTAAATCTTTACGGGAGCAGAAAGCCTCGACTTTCTCCCATGGAGCAGTTGGTGGTTTCAAACTGCTGACCTTGCTGTTCGCAGCCCGATTCGTAACCACTATGCTACCAGAGCTCCTTTATCATAGCCCAACTTAAATTAATATTCCACAACTTCACAACAGTGTAATGCCTTCAAAGAGGATAATTCCATTTGCCTCTCCTCTTGTACTGTAAATATTCCTATTGCCATATATGGTATACACATTCCTACTATCTATCCATGTCTTGGATTCCTGGTGTGGCACTGTAGGATCAGCACAGGACCTTGAACCACAAGGCTGGCAGTTCAAATTTACCAGCTATGCCTCGAAAACCATATACAAGGTTGCGAAGGGCCAGAGCCAACTCAATGGCACTTATCAATAACACCAACACATGTTTTTAATTCATTTTAATGTTTTATGACTATTTTCACTGGTTATAGAATACTGTTGTTGACTCAGTTCCGACTCATAGCAACCCTGTCTAGGGTTTCCATTTCATTTCCCTAATCTTCATAGTCATCAATACTTTCTTTTATTACATCTTGCCTGCTATGAAATCCACCCGACAAATGCTGAAACTCAGATAATTGCACGTTTTCATATCTAGAATGCCCCAAAATTCTTCTCAGAGATTATATTTCTCTGTTGGCACTATCCGTCTTTGTATCTTTTTTTGTCATATTTTCATTTGCCATATTTAAAACTGTTGTTTAAAAGTTTTTGTCTGTTAATGTGTCATCAGTGTGTTTGCTAACAATGACTAAATAACAAGGAATTGTTTATGAATTGTATTTTCCTTTTTCTCTGTGTCTTTTTTTAAAATTTAATTTATTGAATTATAGACAGTGTGTTTACAAGAACTCTAGGAAACTAGAGTAAATAGTAACTTCCTCCAGAAAGTTCAATCCTTTTCCTTTAGCAGTTGGAAAGAGGGGCAGATCACATCCATTCAGCCAGGAATTGACATGGGCCTGGCCTGGGTTGCAGTTTTCGCTGATTATAGCTTACCTCTAGTTATAATTGCATTGAGGGAGAGGTCTATCCCTGCTCTAGGAGAGCATTGGTAAAAATATCATGTGACTACAGAAATCTTTCTCCACTTTATAGCTCAGCTCCCAGCCTCCTCTGTTGCTGAATTTCTGGAAAAATCCCAAGGGGGAGAATTGTCAGCTGGAGAGCACATTCCACATTTGAGGAATGCAGGCAGATCTCCAGTCTGCTGTGCCAGTCCACACAGCCATTACAAGCTCCAGAGTCCCCTGCCTTTGCTGGACTAGTCCTCTGTCCACTGGGACACAGGCTCAGAAAATGCCCAGGGAGAGAAGTGACCACCAGGCTGTTTACTTAAGAAGAGCTTGTCTCTCCCTGAAGATTAGTTCTGTTGGACTCTGCACCTTGGTTCTTTTAATAATATACGATGTTTTCAGCCATCTTTTGGTTCTCTAGTTGTTATAGGGGGAGTGACAGTCTGTCATGACTACCTACAGCCTAATTCAAAAGGGAGCTCTCAGAAAACCCTGCATCCTATCAGATTAAAGAAAGTTGCATGTTTATAGGTATAACTTGCACTACCATCAAACTACAGCTTCAATTGTTCTGAGTATATCACAAAACAATTTTCAAAAGACATAGGGTACTTCCTGCTAAGTAATACATATGTTGTTAGTTGCCACTGAGTCAATTCCAACTCATGGTGACCCAGGTATGCCGAGCAGAACTGTTGCACAGGGTTTTCAAGGCTGTGGCCTTTTCAGAAGTAGACTGCCAGACTTGTCTTCCGAGGTGTCTCTGTGTGACTTTAAATGATAAACCTTTCAGTTAGGAATCAAGCACTTAGCTGTTTGTACAAAATACTTATGGATCAAATTGTACATGTAGAAACTGTTGTACTGGTGTATGTTTTGCAGTGTGTATGATATTCTCAACAACAAAACCAAAATAAATAAAATTAGAAAAAGAAGAACTAATTATATTCCCTAATTATCTTATTTTATATAAAACTTCACATATCATAGTTCACTATCATGTACATTATATCATTTGTCCCTCACAGTAACCCCGTGACGTAGTTAAAGCAAGTGTTATATGTTCCATTATTCAGATGAGGGAGATGAGCTACTGAGAATAAAGTGGGAACACACAGCTTCCACTGAAATAAAACACAATCTATTTTCTGTGGCTTCAAGGTCTAGTACATCTGTTCTCTTACTTCTTCAGTCTCACCTTGTGAAATCATTCTATTCTGCCATTAGCACTAGGCATGCTAATCTTTTCTCAGTTTCTCCAAATAAGTTAGCTCTTGCCCCCTTAGGAAACTGTCTCTTACTATATTTTTATGCCTGGAACATTATCCCACTTGCTATTTCTATTGTAAGCTGCTTCTCACCATTCGATTCCCAGCCTGGTTGACACCTTCTCAGGGAATCCTTTACTGACCATTCAAACTCAAGTCACCATATCCCCTAGTCACAGTCATAGCCAACTCAGCTCTCTGCATTTTCTTCTTCCCATTCATCAACAATATGGACTGCATTTATTTATTTGATTATTTCATTTATTTCAGTCAGTTTCCTCCACTTGGATATCAAAGTATTGTCTGTCTTATTTACATTGTCTGGCATTGTACAGTTGCTGGGGGCTCACAACTATTTGCTAAATGAATGACCAGCTGTCAGGGGAGTGAGGATAATAATTCAGACCTCCTCATTCCTGTTTCCAATGATTTTCCTACTGAACTCTTTCTTAATTTCAATAACTCCCTCAGGTATTCATGTATCTGCTCATGTTGTTACTGTTGTTAAGTGTTGTCAAGAACCGGTTTAGGGTTTCCAAGGAATGGCTGGTGGGTTTCAACTTCTAACCTTGTGGTAATCAGTTCAGTACTTATCTATCCTACAGTGCCACCCAACTGTAGATATTTTCACACCAGAGAAGAAATACAACGTAATGGTTTAGAGAAAAACGCTGAAGCAAGCTTGCCTAGCCAGGTTTGAATAATGGCTCTGTTACATCCAGTGCAAGTTATTACCTTCTGGGCCTTCATGTCCTAGTTTTTACAATGGAGCATACATTTTGTTATAGTTAGTTTCTGTGGCATTGATTTTGACTAATGACAAATCCAGGTATGCAGCGTAAAACTGCTTCATTGGGTTTTCTAAGCTGTGCACTGTGGGAAGCTGACTACCAGGTCTGACTTCTAAGGCACTTCTGGGTGGGTCTGAACTGCCAGATTTTAAAAGTTAGATTAAGGGAGTCCTGGTGTGGCGCTGTGGGATAATGCGCCAGACTGCAAAGCCGTTTGAACTGCAAGATCGGCGGTTCAAGCTCACCAGCTGCTCCTTGGAAACCCTATACAGGGTCACTATGAGTTGGAATCGACTCGATCGCACTTAACAATAGCAAAAACAATCTACACTGTGAACCACAGGGTAGGCAGTTCAAGCCCATCCGTTGTTCCTCAGAAACCCTAAACAAGGCCACTATGAGTCTGAGCTGACTCGATGACACTTAACAACAATCATACATTCAAAGTCCTGGTGTGCTGCTGTAGGATAAGCATTAGACTGCTAACCACAGGGAAGCAGTTGAAATCCACCAGCTGCTCCTCAGAAACCCTATAAAAGGTTGCTATGAGTCAGAACCCACTCAATAGCACTTAACAACATCAATCATACGTTAATCCTATACTAATTCCTTCATAGGGTGGCTATGAAGGTTAAATGATTGAATATATGTAAAATGTATGGCACACAGTAAACTATTTGATAGTGATTTCTACAATTTACCATGCCTTATGGAGTCTTGGTGTGGCACAGTAGGATAAGCACTGGGCTGTTAACCACAAGATTGGTATAGGCTTCTTGGAAACCCTATACCAGGGTTTCTATGGTCACTATGAGTTGGAACTAACTCAACGGCATTTAACAACACTAAGAGGTAGATGTAGGGCCAGGCTATAGTGGGTGCTAAAATTAAATAAATAAATAAATAAAAAGTAGTAACAATACTGTTGCCATTGAATCAGTTCCAACTCACAGTGACCCACAAGGGTCGGCAGTTCAAACCCTCCAGCTGCTCCTTAGAAACCCTACACAGGGTGCTATGAGTCGAACCAACTCGATGGTACTTAACAACAACAGTAAAGTTAACACTGTTGTAGCTAAGTGCAGTCAAGTAGGTTCCAACTTGACCCTGTAAATGGTTTCTGAGAAGCAGCTAGAACGTTTGAACTGCTGACCTTGAGGTTATCAGTGCAATGCTTAGCCTACATATGCTGCATGTCTCTGAACTTTCAGAAAGGCAAGAAAAAAAACCCCGAAATTTTCATTTTAAAAAGTATTCCAGTCTTTTTGGCTAGTGTTAGTGTTACTTGCAGCCAAAATCATCCCTACCTGGTATAACTGAAATGGATACTTTAGTAAGTCATTGGGAGGGGTGAGTTGAGATAGCGTCCCTGTTCCCACTAAGGAGAATACTTAGATAACAATACACAAGAACTCTGGTAGCGTAGTGGTTACGAATCGGGCTGTGAACCTTAAGGTCAGCGGTTCGAAACTACCAGCCGCTCCGCGGGAGAAAGATGAGGCTTTCTACTCCGGTAAAGATTTACACCCTCGGAAACCCTGTACAGGGTCGCTATGGGTCGGAACCGACTCGAAGGAACTTAACAACAACAAAAGAAGATAGGTTTTAACATAATGCTTTTCAATTTTGACAGCTACTTAATTATTAGTGTAGCCACATCTCTGAGTCTAGCCTAAGTTTGTATACTGTGGAGGTAAACTTCATTATTGCTGAAAACAGTCTACCCTAAATGCACACCGAATATATTCAAATTTCTTTCAGACTGAACGTATTACCAAAGGTGCAGGAAGAATATGCCACAATCAAAGATTCTCCTTTCCCCTTCTAAGTTCCCCACCACTGTTTCTGATGTGCTGGTAGCCTTGACACTGGGGGACACTGGGAGATATTGTTTTGGACAAGGACTACAGCAAGAGAATCCACTGTTCTCCAAGATAGACCTGGGCACAGTCCCAGTGGCCCAGCCACCCACGGCCTGCCTTCCTCGCCAGGCCTGTAGATAAAGTCAGAAGACAAAGAACTTGCTTTTATGCTCCGGCTTCCCAATTATCTTTGGATTTTAACTTGTTTATAAACAAGTTCACCTTGGGTATTTTGCAATAAGCACTTGAAAGGCAAAGATGATAAAAGGAAGCCATAGTTTCAGGTTAATGGAAGTTAAGACCACAAGGAGCTCTTGGCTTCCATTCTCAGGTTCCTGGCATTCTTTCTTGACCCGCCCAGCACCCTCTCTGTACTCAGCCATTCTGGCTCCATCACCTTTCTGGTCAGATGTACAAGGAGAGAGCACATGAAGCTATTCTGCCAAAAGGTAAACAGGTCTGCCCAAACTTCTGTATTGGCAGTAAGGATATGGAAAAATGTGTTTGGAGATTAGTGGGAAGCTTAACACTGCAAACAAATCCTCCAGTTACTCAGCAGGGAATATTTGCAATAGTTTTAAAAGGTGGTTTTCTTTTAACCAGTTGAGGTTTGCATCAGCAATTAAATTCTTTGGCCATTGTCCATCACCTGAGTATCACTGTGCTAGGGATGGGACAAATGGAAATTGAAGAAAGAACAACCTTCAGTACACCAAAGGACAGGATCAAATGGGCAATATCTATGGGGCAATAAAAGAATCGTTTTCTGGCGTAGAGATCTTTATCTGCTGGCTGATAGTTCTCCATTTTATTGTCTTGGAAAGTAACTCATGCTATGTTCAATCCCCTCTATCAGGGATAAAAAAAAGGCTAGTAAGCAGAAACAATGCTTATATTTTGTTTTTGTTAAGTGCCGTCACATTAGTTCTGACCCATAGCAACCTTGTATAAGGGTTTCCAAGGAGAGGCTGGAGAGTTTGAACTGCTGATCTTGCAGTTAGCAATCCAGTGCTGATAGCTATAATAGAATTGAAGTACACAAATCACAATTTTGTAGTTGTTGTTAAGTCGATTCCGACCCATAGCGACCCTGTATAGGGTTTCCGAGGAGCAGCTGGTGAGCTTGAACCACTGATCTTGCGGTTCAAAGAGTTTTGCTGTCTGGCACATTAACCCACAGCGCCACACCAGGACTCCACAATCACAACAGCATATATAAATACACACATGACAAAAGCAGACCACTATTTTACTTAAATTACCCCAAGTAGGAAAAAATGGAGAATAACCATTAATGGGTTTCTTGTGGACTAAAAACCAGTGAATTGTATGTATACTTTTTAAAGGTAAATTTTATGGTATGTGAATTATTTCTCAATTTTTAAAATTGTATGAGAAAAATTACCCCTGCTTTGATTTGTTTAAATTTTGATATTCAAAAGTGCTTTGAGATTTTACATAACATCGTTGTTTTTGTTGTTGTTAGGTGCCATCGAGTTGGTACCAACTCATAGTGACCCTATGCACAACAAAATGAAACACTGCCCGATCCTGGTACAACCTCACAATTATTGCCACGCTTGAGCTCATTGATGTTGCCACTTTGCCAATCCATCTCGCTGGGGGTCTTCTT